TCATGGGGCATCTTCTCTGTGGAAATTTCTAACATTATCAGATCTTTCTACTTCTCTTGGGAAACTTAGTTCTAAAACTCCTCTGCTGTCTATCTTTGATAAGCTGCTTTGGTCTGATTATTTTTATGTTAAGAGTTATTGCTACATGGGGCTTCATTTCCCCACCACCCAGTCCCTGACCATTATGATGGTTTTGACAAACCTTGAAGTATTTCGGTTCCTTACGATGATGCTCCTTGATTATCTGTATCTCTTTTAGAGCTGTTTGAGTTTATGCCAAACTATGCTTCTTCTTGGGGCTTCCCTGGTAGCTCAGATGGGAAAAAATCTGCCTGCAATGCAGGAGACCTGGGTTCGATCCCTGGGTAGGGAAGATCCCCTGGAGAAGAAAATGGCAACCTACTCCAGTATCCTTGTCTGGCAAACCCCATGAACAGAGGAGCCTGGAGGGCTACAGTCCATGGAGTCACAAAGAGTTGGACACAGCTTAGCAACTAATACTATATGCCTATATATGCCTAAGTTTCTTCCTGAGAGGTGAAGTTGCTTCTATTAACCCTCTACCTCTGGTGGTACTGTTGCTTCCACCATAAGCTGCCCTGCAGCTGTCCTCTTCAAACCACAGATGACCACTTGAGCAACCCTTGCACTGGCCCTTCCCCATCATGAAAGGTGGTGTAGCAGTAACAATGGAGAAGACCCTAGTAGAGACCCAGGATGTACTTATGTTGAGAGTTAAACCCCCCACTCACAGCCATGGCAAGATAACGGACCCCAGCACACGCTCCCCTTGACCCCCAAACCAGACTCAGATGACAATCACTGGAAGCATCTCTATAGCCTTAAGCATAAAGAACGACATAGTTTAGATGGTGAAGCAATGGCTGCTGGGGATCTCAGAGCATCCTCACCAAGAGCCAAGATTCCTTCTCTGCTTAAACATCTGCTTCCTTGTGGGTTTGCTGACTTTATGTGAGAACTATGGCAAAGGCCAGATTGGACAGGCACAGATTTCAACTTTATCCTGTGCAGAGTGGTCAAGCAGATGAGACTCCATGTAGGGAACACTCCTTTTCTTCTTTTCCTCTTGATAAACTCTTCATCTTCTTTTCAAAGTCAGCTCAGACATCACAGCTCAGTCGGTGGTGTCTTCTCTCCCCTAGTGAGACGTGAACATTCCCTTTTCTGCAAAAACTTGTCTTGGGGACATCACTTTGTATCTGCTTATTTCTATGCAGGCTTCCTCTCCTGGATCATTAGCTGTTGGAGGTTGAAGCTCAGGTATCACTCATCTTTGTTATTTCCAGCCCAGAGCCTGGTTCACATGTTGTAAGTGATCAATACACAGTTGTAAATGGAAGTAAACCAATCTATTGAACCAGTGGGTCTTGATAGCTTGATGCTGTTACTTAAAAAAAAATAAACTTTTTATTTTGTATTGGGGTATATCCAATTAATAATGTAATAATTTTGGTGAACAGCAAAGGACTCAGCCATACATATATATGGATCCATTCTCCCCCAAACCCCCTTCCATCCAGGCTTCCACATAACATTGTGTAAAGTGTTACCTTTTAAAAAAATTGAAATAAAGCTGATTTACAATGTTGTATTAATTTCAGGTATTGAGCAAAGTAATTCATATGTGTGTATATATATACACACATATGTATAATAAGTATACACATATTATATATACATAAATAAATAATCATATATAAGTATTTATAATATATATACTTTTATATAACAAGTATAACAAGCACTTGTCTCATGCATCCAACCTGGGCTGGTGATCTGTTTCACCCTAAACAAGGGCTTTTTAAAAAACAATCAAGTATGCATGAGACAGTGCTCAGGCCTGGTGCACTGGGAAGACCCAGAGGGATGGGGTGGAGAGGGAGGTGGGAGGGGGGACCGGGATGGGGAATACATGTAAATCCATGGCTAATTCATTTCAATGTATGACAAAAACCACTGCAATGTTGTAAAGTAATTAGCCTCCAACTAATAAAAATAAATGAAAAAAAAAAAAAAAACAATCAAGCAGGCTGACTGATGCCAACTGGATAGACTCTGCCATATTTGCATACCTGAGGGGAGAACCCACACTGACCTCTTAAATTGTTTCCTGTACAATGATTTTATTTTGGGTTTAGTTTGATCTTGCAGATTCCTGCTTCCTTCACAGTTGAAGGCATTCCATATTCATCTGGTATAATGACATGCATCATCTATCAAAGCAGAAACTTGTTCTCTTGTTTCCTGCAGCCTGTAGCCGATGCCACATTCAGCTGAAAAGTGTGGGAGGTCAGCAGTGAACAGGGTAGTTGATGTCACTAGAGATTATCACACTAAGTGAAGTAGGTCAGGAAGAGAAGGACGAATGCCATAGGATATCACTTATATGTGAAATCTAAAATATGGCACAAATGAACGTGTCTATGAAACAGAAGCAGATTGATAGAGAACAGATTTGTGGTTGCCAAGGGAAAGAGGGGGTGGGGGAGGGACGGACTGGGAGTTTGGGGTTGGTAGACGCAAACTATTGCATTTAGAATGGATAAACAACAAGGTCCTAATGTATAGCAAAGGGAAAACTATATCCAATATCTCGTGATAAACCATGATGGAAAAGAATATTAGAAAAGAATGTCCATATGTGTATAAGTGAGTCACTTTGCTGTGTAACAGAGATTGGCACAACATTGTAAATCAGCTACTGTTTTTGTTGTTTTAGGTGACTCTTTGTGACCCCATGGACTGTAGCCCACCAGGTTCCTCTGTCCATGGGATTCCCCAGGCAAGAATGTTGGGAGTGGGTTGCCATTTCCCTCTCCAGCAGATCTTCCTGCCCCAGGGACTGAACCTGTGTCTCCTGCTTGGCAGGTGGATTCTTTACCACTGAGCCACCAGGGAAGTCTACTATACTTCAATTTTTAAGGAAAAGCCCTTACGAGGGAATGGAGTTGATCACAGCCTTTTAGGTAAACTTACCAGGATGTTTCATGCATTCTGGATTCACAGAGATGGAAAGGACCTTAAGAAACAGAGACAGAATCACATGCCTTGGGGCCATCCCACTAAACACCCTTTTCAGGCACATGGATGAGTGAGTGTCATTCAAGAAAGGAGATTCCATTACCATCAGTAATCAATTGCTGTGTTTAATAACTTCCCCTAATAAAAAGATCTTTCTTACATCCGACAAACATCTTTCATACTGCAATCTCTCTGCCGAGTAATTCTTCAGAGTGGGGATGAAAGAAATCATTCATCATCCTCTTTTCACATAAGTGTGTAGAAGACGGTCCAAGTCACCATTCGGCATTGTTTCAGTTCTTTTCTCACTTCCGATGCTCTGGCCATCTTTGTTACTGTACAATCCCTGCCAAGTTCCCCACATGCACAGACACCCACTTCTGGGGCAGATCATTCATGAGCACTCAGTAGCATGAGTAATGAGGTGGTGGTTGCTTGGTTCTGGAATGTGACATGGGGTGAATGCTTTTCCAAATTGGATTTTCTTTAAGAAACCAACATATATTTAAACATCTATCATGTGACAGGCACTGTGCTGATTTGTGTGCCATGTGCACTTGTGTTTCCTTTAGCTCACTCTGCTGGAATAAAATTAATTCCAAGCGGGGAGGTGGAGGAGCCGATACAAGCTTCTAGAGGCTTCCGTCCCCAAAGCAGCTGGGGCAGGAATTGCAGATTTCGGCAAAGAGGCATCTGGTGAATCCTTTCATACATATTTCTTATACTAGTGATTGTGTTACCAATTCCCTCTGTCATCACGAAATTACAGAGCCTGAAAGAATGGGAAGGTCATCTGAGCAAGTTTGCAATGTCATGGTGAGAGTGTCTCACCCAAAAGACCCCAGGTCCACCCCTTACTACTTGAGATACTTTGGGAAGATCGTTTATCATCTATGAATTGCAGGTTCCTTTTTTATAAAGTGGACTTTTAGTACATTATTTTCATGAGGATGAAGTGAGATAATAATGCAAATTGTACACGGTAGCTACTGTTTTATACAGCTGCTTAGAGTTTTCTAGGAATGCAGTCATGGTATCTACTTTCTTGTTTTTTAGTATTTTATCAGCCAAGTGACCGTGACTCCTTCCTTATACTCAACTGAAATCTGTCCAGTTAGAGGTGTTTTCATTGTAGTTGATGACTTTCTCCTGATTAGTCAAACATTTGAGTACTAGGTGGACTTCTCTCGTGGCTCAGATAGTAAAGAATCTGCCTGCAGTGCAGGAGACCTGGGTTCTATCCCTGGGTCAGAAAGCTCCCCTGGAGGAAGAAATGGCCACCCACTCCAGTAGCATGTGAGCATGTGTTTCCTTTAGCTCACTCTGCTGGAATAAATACTACCCACTCCAGTATTCTTGCCTGGAATATTCCAAGGACAGAGGAGCCTGGCAAGCTACAGTTCATGCGGTTGCAAACAGTTGGACATGACTGAGTGACTAACACTTTTTCTTTTCTTTTGAGTACTAGGCACAGTCATAAGCAGCTTTAGAGATGCTTTTTATACCTTATTCCATTTAATCCATCCTCCCTCCTCCACCCAGGTGACAGAACCAAGTCTATTCTCAGAGACATGAAAGAAGCCCCCTGGGAGCACACAGTTAGAGCCTGGATCCTAACCTAATCTTTCTTCTCTTTTCCCTCTGCTATGCTCCCCCAAGACACATACTAAGTCTGTTTTATACACTAAATCATCCTTTCTTCCCCCAATTTGGCAATCTAATAACAAGAAAAAGAAAACTATCATTTAAGAAACTTAAATCATTGTACTACTTGAAATCCTTTTTGGAATGAACAATAATAATGATAATGTTGGGTTACATGTGAAAGGTGTGTTTCAAATATGAGTGGAAAATTAAACCAATGATTAGTAGTGGTAGGTCCAAATTATTTCAGGTTTGGTTAGTTTTGGCCAAGTTAGAAGGATTAATATTTTCCATCTCATCACACCTTTACTTACAGATGAACAGGCTTTAACGTAACATGATCCTGGTAGTAGGAGTGTGCATCAAGTCCACCTATGAAATCAACTGTAAATACAACATAGCCCAGTATGAATAAGTGTGCAAGTTCACATAATAGTAGATGACTTAAAAAGAACACACAAAAAGTTAACAAAAATATTTATCACACAATGGAAGAATGTGTATTTAATATAAAGACTGTTCAAAATATTATCAGTGGTCAAAAAATGGGGAAATTTAAAAAAAAATTTTTAATGGAGGATAATTGTTTTACAATGTTATGTTGGTTTCTGTCATACACCAACATGAATCAGCCACAGGAATACATATGTCCCCTCCCTTTTGAACCTCCCTCCCACCTCCCAACCCATTCCACTCCTCTAGGTTGTCACAGAGCACCTGAAAAAAATGGGGAAATGTGAAGAAACACACACAGAACTTGGGATCTTAGGGACTGAAAAATCACAGTTGTTACTGGCTGTAGTAAAAAATGAAGTATACTAAATAGTATTAGATTTTAAATAATGTGCTTGTCCTTAGGCATACAAATATGCCCTTTCCCCTCATATATCAAAAGATATACCTTTTCTTCTTGTTGCCAGAAACCACTTTTTTTTTCTTTAAGAATATTTATTGCATTATTAGAAAGACCTTTGAGAAGTCACAAAATCTATGTCCTTGCCCTCTGTCTTTAAGCCATTCCTGACAAATAAGCACCTGCATTTTGCAGAGAAAGTTTCAGCTTCTCTCTGGTAGTGTGGTACTTGCCTCATACTGTATAGACTCAGTAATTTTGTTAATATTCTGTCTAATCTGTTTCCGCTTTGATCAAAACCTCAATCTTTCTTTTGCAAATCTAATGTCCACGGTTAATCTTAGTTCATTTCTCCTGGTTTTTTTTTTTTTTCCTGCCGTAGTCCATTAAAGCTATTAATTAGGTCCTATCAAGCTCTGGTTATATTATAGTACTCTAATATTAACAAGTATGTGGGTATATAGGAACACTCTGAGCTTTGTATGTGTGTGTGTTTAGGTACACAAGTTGTGAATATTTTATCATATTCTCCACTCAAGACAGGCATGCTAGTAAACTGATTTTGAGAAAGATGAATTAGTCTAGAAGTTCAGAGGGGCCAAGAAAAGCCCATCCTTTTCCTACCAAGGCACATAAGTCACCTGGACGCAACCTTAAGGAGAGAAGTAGTGAGAGAGGAGTCAATCGGAGACACTGAAATGATTTTCCCAGGATTTCCCTGGCTGTCCAGTGGCTAAGAAGCCACCAGCCCATGCAGGAGACACAGGTTTGATCTTTCCTTAGGGAAAAAAGCCCATCCTTTTCCTACCAAGGCACATAAGTCACCTGGACGCAACCTTAAGGAGAGAAGTAGTGAGAGAGGAGTCAATCGGAGACACTGAAACGATTTCCCCAGGATTTCCCTGGCTGTCCAGTGGCTAAGAAGCCACCAGCCCATGCAGGAGACACAGGTTTGATCTTTCCTTAGGGAAGATCCCACAATGCCTTGAGGCAACAAAGCCTGTAAGGCGCAACAAGAGAAGCCACTGGGATGAGAAGCTCCTGTGCAGCAAGAAGACCCCGTGCAGCCAAAAAACAAATAAATAAAATACTTAGAAATTCTTCTATTAAAGAAGGAATCTTATCAGAGAGAACTACCAGTGTCTAAAGGGGTCATTTAGTCAGACTAGATTAGGTTTTTATTAGATTAGATATTTAATCAAATATCCAACCCCTGACCTTGTTGACCAATGGGTGAAAATTTAGAAGGAAAAATCACCTGATCAATTAACATTGTTGATTAAAAATTGAATGGCCCTAAAAAAAAATGTTCGGTAGTACTATAATTTACTGAACTGATATGGAAAATATTTTCATAGTTAAAGATACTATGATTTACAGAGGCACCTTTGGAAGTTGAAGGGTGTGTTAAAAGAAACAAAATTATAAATACATACATTCATGAATAAAATTATTCAATTAAAAAGTTATTTCAAAGTAAAATTATCTATAAAAATGAAGATTAAAAATCAATATACATATTTCTTAAAGCAGAATAAAAGAAAACTTTATATTTATTTGAATGTTAAAATGTTAACATTAACATAACGATTATTTTTTTGTATAAATTCATGTACTGCCATGAATCTGCTCCATGTTCCATGTCTGTCTGTAATATACTACAGCACTGATCTTTTGGGGGAAAATATACACATAGCTCTTCAATATGGTTTTATTATTTTTATAAATTTATTTACAATCTTATTCAACACTTCTTTTATAATTAGTAAACTTGAAATTGCTGATATCTTGATTGCCCCTGTAAATCATAGCACTTTTAACTATGAAAATATTTTCCATATCAGTTCAGTTCAGTCGCTCAGTCATATCTGACTCTGCAACCCCATAGGCTGCAGCATGCTAGGCTTCCCTGTCCATCACCAACTCCCAGAGCTTGCTCAAACTCATGCTGATAAATGCCAAGCAGGTTTGCTACAGAGAGGACAGGTGTCATATAGTTTAGCCTAAATACTTGCCCAAACACTGCTATTTTACTTCCATTTAGCTCATCTTTCTGTGCCAAAAATTTTACAAGAAACAAAATAACTTGCATTTATTGATGATACTTTTTAGATCTTCTCACAAATTAAGTTTTTTTCATTTTGGTGCAAAATATATAAGTTTGTCAAATAAAACGCAGCTCTGTCAAAAGAGTCTTTCAAGTCAAGAGATTTCAAAAGGAAACTATGAAACTGAAAATTAAATTTCATATAACATTTGAACTCTCAATATTTAATTTGTCCAGTTTGCTTGTTTTGTGAGCATAAATTTCCATGTTTTCCTTCTTTGTAAGCTTTCACTTATTGCCTTTTACTAAAAGATTCAAAAGATGATTTTGGGGGTGCTTCATTTGTTGAATAATTTGACAAGTTCTTCAACTGATCTTAAATGCAGTGCAGCTAAAATGTGGAAGACTCATTTATAAAATGCTCATAGTCATTGTAGGAAACTTGGATTAATTTATGAAGTAGTTCTTTAAATACAGAAATGACCCTAAATGATTGATGAAGAGAAGCCAAGAGAGAAAAGGTATTCTGTCATCCCAAAGACTTTGTTTTGTTTGCTTGTTTTCAACATCAATTGCATTACAAAAATATTCTCAGGGAAATGCAAACCAAAACCACAATGAGATACTACTTTATTCTCACCAAAATGGCTATAAAAATCAGATGATAAATGTTGGTAAAGATGTGGAGAAATTGGAACCCTCATGCACTGCTGGTGGTAATGTAAAATGTTGCAAGACAGGTGGTTCTTAAAAGAGGAAATACAGAGTTACCATGCACGCGTGCATGCTCAGTCATGTCTGACTCCTTGCGACCCCATGGACTGTAACCCACCAGGCTCCTCTGTCCATGGGGATTCTCCAGGCAAGAATGCTGGAGTGGGTTGCCATGCCCTCCTCCAGGAGATCTTTCTGACCCAGGGATCAAAACCATGTCTCCTGCATCTCCTGCATTAGCAAGTGGATTCTTACTCCTAGGTATATACCCAAGAGAAATGGAAACACATCCACACAAAAATTTGGACATAAATTTTTAAACTCTCAATATTTAGTTTGTCCAGTTTGCTTATTTTGTGAGCATAAATTTCCATGTTTTCCTTTTTTGTAAGCTTTCACTTATTGCCATTTACTAAAAGATTCAAAAGATGATTTTGAATCATCTTTGAAAACAGCATTATTCATCATATCCAAAAGGTGGAAAAAGTAGGTAATTAAGAAACTGAAAACAGCAAGAATCTTTTCTGGGTGGAACACAACAATGTGGTTTTTGACAACAGAAACCTAATATTCCCACATTAGAAAAATAGTTTTTTTTAAGCACACACTAACACTTCCCATTTGCCAGAGTAGGAATACAGCTTAAGTAAAGAGATAAACTGAAGTGTTTATAGATTTTAAAGTTTTTTTAAAAATGATGCTTTAAAAACTGAAGTTGTTTTTTGACCCAATGAAATACTTGAAAACAACTCAGTAGGAGATACTTTCAGCTTTTAAGCTTTCATCGTGGTAGTTGTATCACACTGTTAAGAAAGTGAAGTGACTGTGTATTCTAAAAGTCACTGTAATGAGAAAGATGTGAGAACAAAATCTGCTGAATTAAGGAGTTGCTCCAGTGGAAATAAGGAGATGAATTGCAATGAAACCTGAGAAGTAGCAGAAGAGGCGGAGATGGGTTTTCAGAAATATTAGAAAAGGAGAATTCGAAACAAAACATCATGAAGTCTGAAGTAATCACAGCAAGAGCACCATCTAAGGGTCTTTGGTAGAAGAGTGGCCTTGGAGGAGATGAGGAAGACAGAGGGTAGGGGGTGTGCACAACTTGCTGAGTGACCTGCAGGATAATTGACTTGAATTATCTGGTTATTAAAGTCTTAAAATGTAGAAGAGAAAAATCAGCACAATTAAGAGCTGGCATCAACGGTACAGAAAAGCCGGTTACAGAGAACATTGCCCTCTTCACCCATTCTCGGAAACTGAGGTGTTACTATCAAAAATCCCTTGGGGAGAGCCCACAGCCAGGAAACCCCACTGTTCATAGTCCTTTCAAATGTATCTCTTGTGCCAACTTCCAACCGCAGAGCCAAGCGACTTCTTGGAACAAATTATGTTACTTGCATTGGAACATCTTTGTGGCTATTCACTCTCCCCATGGCAGATCCCAGACAGGGGTTCTCACTGACCTGGAGGAACTCCAAAGCCACTCTGGACTTACAGCATCATCTTACTGTACAAACACAGACCTGCTTTCCATTTGTGGGACTTCCCTGGTGGCTCAGATGGTAAACAATCCGCCTGCAATGCTGGAGACCCGGGTTCCATCCCTGGCTCAGGAAGATCTTCTGGAGAAGGGAATGACTACCCACTCAAGTATTCTTGCCTGGAAAATTCCATGGACAGAGGAACCTGGTAGGCTACAGTCCATGGGGTGGCAAGAGTTAGGCACGACTGGCTGACAGTTTCACTTTTCTTTTTTTTGTTTTTCACTTT